CGTAAATATATACTTACACACGCATATTGGTTTCAAATAAGTATATATATATTATATATATATATACACGTGTGTGTGTGTGTGGTTAAGTTATTGTAAGGCTATTATTTGTCAAACTTGTAAACTCAGTCGTCCCAATCTTGTCCCAATTGATTTCAAGTAACTTGGTCTGGTGGTTAGTGGACAATTAGAGAGAGTGATTAGGCCCTTAACATGAAATTCTTGTTTAATGATTAAATCTTAAGATTATATTGCTACCTCCAAACCAATGTCTTCTCCACAATCATTAGTGAAAAGCAATATAGAAATTAGTAAATTTTTTAAAAAAATATTTATCAATTGAAATATTTGTTTATGATAAAATTAAATATTAACAAGATAAAATTACGTATGGGTTTAACTTAAAATTTAATTATTAACAATAAGAAATTACTCTACTCTGTATCGGGTATTTAGTTTAATTTTTGTATAATAAAAACGTGAGGAATTTTTTCATTAATTTTATAATTTGGACGTAAATAATTTATCTTTAACAAAATTAAAAAATAAATTAAATTTTTATGGGTAAAAACAAGTATAAAAATATTCCGATTGTGCATCTAAAGAAATTCGATCGCTAATAATAGCTATATTAATATAAAATAATTTTTAATTATTTAAGTTAGACCAATTCAACAGTTGGAATGTGACCAAAATTTATTGTACACACAAATCAGTTAATTTTAAAATTTCTATTAGAGATTAATTGGGTCGGATCTGAGTTATTGGGCCGGATCCTCTATTGCCCTACCCAGCCCAAACGTATTATTCAAACTTTTAAAACGCTGACCCGATCCAAACCCATAGGAAAGCCCAGCCATTTATCCGTCTTCTGATTCAACTTTGCAAACCGACACCGTTTTCGTTGAGATTGTTATACATTGCTCATGGCGAGCGCGAGGCCATTATCGCTTTCTGTGTCTGCGCTCCGAGTCTACAAGAGCAAATGAACTAACTCCTCGCAGTAGTTCAGTAATAAAACTTGGTAATGGCGTCTTTAGTCTCCGTAAGCTTCTTTACGCCTCCGTTTTCACGAGTCCTTCTCGAGGTAAGCTTCGAAACCCTAGCTTATGTTCTATAGTTTACGTACCAACCATCTTCGCGACAGTACGTTTTGTTTCACGAGAAAATGTTGAAGGAGAAAATATTTGGACCTTGTTGAATGGTATTAGTTTGAGTTGTTTTGGTAGTACGAGTGGTTAGCCTACTGAGTACCTGCTTCTTGTCGAGTGGAACCGAGTGGGCAGAATAACTGTATTAGTAATTGAATTCAGGGGAATAACTGCGAAATCTGTTTCGATTTAAAGTTGCAGAAGAGAATCTGTATTATGTTACAGAGTATTCTACGTGTTCGTATATGGATATTTCTCAACTGGTTGTAAATTTCGTTTTCTTTTTTGGAGGTTCTCCTGTAGAAGTTATAAATAAGAAATAGGAAACAAACAAATGATAATGTTGGTATTTTAATGAGATGGATCCTCTTTCTATGGTATTCAAAATTATAATGGAAGGGTATCAACTGTGCCTACTGCTAGAGGATAACAAGAGCTTGGGATTTGGAGCTGGAGGGATTTGATGCTTGCACTTTTTGTGGGTTTTATCTGGATTTAAAGGCGACAAACTGTATTGATTGCATTCATTTGTTGCCTTAGTACTCTCTGTCCCCATATCTATTGAGTGGTGGAATGAGGACATCCATTTTCTCAAGGTGGGATTAAGAATTTTCTACCACGTTCCACATTTATGGATTTAACAACTGCAGCCCACAATACAGAAAAAATAGTTAGACCACATTGTTCGGGCAGTAGATTACTCTTTTGGTAAGGCGACAACTATCAACATAATGTAATTGAACAAGGCATGTAACAAAACTGGTTTCCTTTGCCCCATGATTTTAGTACATTGGTATTTTTTTCTTTATGTCTTTCTGATGAGAGGTGGCAACATAGCTTAGGATTTGCTCAAACTTTATGAATTGATTTTTGTATGACAGCAAGATGTATACTTCTGGCAACCCATCCCGAGCTCTTGTTGAGCTACAGTACACTCATTTGTTATTGATGTAGGATATATTAGGGTTGTCTACTTATTAATTTGGAGATAAGAATGTGGACATCAAACATCACACTCAAAAAGTCTTAAGGATCATATTTAAGAGTTTGATTGTATTGAATAATCAAACTTTGTCTTGAAAAGTGAAAACTAATGCTAATAACTTTGACTTAATAATGTTTATAATATTTTCTAAGTAGACTTTCCGAAACAGAATTAGATCAAGATATAAGCTTAAAAGGAGGGGGATGATTCTGGTCAACTGGTGTTGCTTATGCAAAAGTGACGAGGAGACTTGCAATCATATTCTACTTGGGTGTCCCGTGGTATATAGTTTATGATTAATGGCTTTTGGAATTATTGGTTATCAATGCATGACGGGTGGTATTGTTAGGGATGAATTATGGGTGTGGAAAGGTTTGGCTGGGAGGGATAAGCAGCTGGGGCTGATTCCCTTTGCCATTTTTTGGGTCATCT